ACTACCTCAATCACCACTAGTGAGACCACCTTACACAGTACTCCCAGCTTCACTACCTCAATCACCACCACTGAGACTACTTCACATGGTACTCCCAGCTACACTTCTTTGATCACCACCAGCGAGACCTCCTCACACAGTACTCCCAGCTTCACTTCTTCAATCACCACCACTGAGACCCCATCACACAGTATTCCCAGCTTCACTTCTTCAATCACCACAACCGGGACCACCTCACATAGTACTCCCAGCTACACTTCTTCGATCACTATCACCGAGACCACTTCGCACAGTACTCCCAGCTTCACTTCTTCAATCATCACCACTGAGACCACATCCCACAGTACTCTCAGCTTCACTTCTTCGATCGACACTACCGAGATCACATCCCACAGCACTCCAAGCTTCATTTCTTCGATCAGCACCACTGAGATGACATCCCACAATACTCCCAGTTTCACTTCTTCGATCACCACCACCGAGACCACCCCACACAGTTTTCCCAGCTTCACTTCTTTGATCACTACCAACGGGACCACATGCCAAAGTATTCCCAGCTTCACTTCTTCCATCACTGACACTGAGACCCCCTCACACAGCACTCCCAGCCTCACTTCCTCCATCACCATCACCGAGACCACATCACACAGTACTCCCAGCTTCAGTTCTTCAATCACCAACACACAGACCACCTCACATAGTACTCCCAGCTTCACTTCTTCAATCACCACCACTGACACCACCTCACACAGCACTCCCAGGTACACGTCCTTGATCACCAAAACCGAGACCACCTCACATAGTACTCCCAGCTTCACTTCTTCGATCACCACCACAGAGACCACCTCACACAGTACTCCCAGTTTCACTTCTTCGATCACCGCCACCGAGACCACCTCACACAGTACTCACAGCTTCACTTCTTTGATTGGCACCACTGAGACCACATCACACAGTACTCCCGGCTTCACTTCTTCAATCACCACTATGGAGACTCCCTCACATGGTACTTCCAGCTTCACTTCTTTGATAACCACCTCTGAGACCCCCTCACACAGTACTCCAAGCTTCACTTTTTCGATCACGATCACCGAGACCACCTCACACAGTACTCCCAGGTACACTACCTCAATCATCACCACTGAGACCCCCTCACAGAGTACTCCCAGCTTCACCACCTCAACTACTTCCACCGAAATCACCTCACACAGTACTTCCAGCTTGACTTCTTCGAACACCACCAGTGAGACTCCCTCACACAGTACTCCCAGCTTCACTTCTTCAATCACCACTACCGAGACCACTTCACAGAGTACTCCCAGCGTCACTTCTTCGATCACCGCTACCGAGACCACTTCACACAGTACTCCCAGTTTCACTTCATCAATCACCACCACCGAGACCACCTCAAACAGCACTGCCAGCTATACTTCTTTTATCACCACAACCGAGACCACCTCACACAGTATTCCCAGCTTCACTTCTTCGATCACCACCACCGAGACC